ATTCTGGACCTGAAATATTTTGCCACAGGGGCCATGGAGTGGTTGATGTAATTGTAATGAACATGAATAGAAGTCCAAGAAAATGAGATGGTGTTCCAGCCTCTTTGCCTGGGGTTAGGTCTAAGGAGCAGACCTGTGGATTGTGTGAGCTTATGGCAAGGTTGCTCTTTGAGAAACCCTTCCTGAGGAATGAGAATTCTGATGTCTGGTCAGAGGCCAGAGAATAATGAATAGAAATTGGAGGTGGAAAAAAGTAAAAATAAATTAAAAACGGGGGGGTGGGGGAGAAATAGGTGTAGGAGGAGGAAAGTGATCAGGAGTGGGTGTGGGACATGGATGGGGCCTCTTCAATCAAGGATAGGAGTTGTGAAGCTGTGTTTGCTCTTTGTCAGCAGGAAATCCAAATCTCCTCCCAAAGTGCCCATTGTGATTCAGGACGATAGCCTTCCCACCGGCCCCCCCCCACAGATCCGCATCCTCAAGAGGCCCACCAGCAACGGTGTGGTCAGCAGCCCCAACTCCACCAGCAGGCCAGCCCTTCCTGTCAAGTCCCTAGCACAGCGGGAGGCAGAGTACGCAGAAGCCCGGAAGCGGATCCTGGGCAGCGCCAGCCCCGAGGAGGAACAAGAGAAACCCATCCTCGACAGGTGAGTGTAGCTGGCAGGGCTGACTGTGGACCACCCCACCAGGCCATGAGGAGGAGGAGGAGAAGAGAGCTTGGCTGCAAGCCATTGTCTCTCTAACTATTCACTTGGCAGAGAAGAAAAAGTCCATTTCCTTTAGTCTTTCACAGTAATATCAGTCACCCATTAACCACATGATTTGCAGAGAAGCAGGAGGAAAGCAGTGGCAGGTGCTGGCTCACTCTATTGAGCTTTGGGTTAGGAGTCTTTACCTTGGCCCAACGCTCTGGAAAGTCTGTGCTTATGGTTCTGCGAAGGATGTACTTACTGTCCATGGTCACTGCCTCTGGACAGCTTGGCCCTTGAGCACTCCCCCTGCCTCCAGATGAATGATGGTCAGACCGGGGGGCCGAGTGCTACAGGTGCCAGAGGTGGACATGGGCCACCTGCCCCATTTAGGAGCTTTCCAGCCTGGAGGTGCTCTGAGTCCACTTGCCAAAGAAGCAAGCTCAGGGAGCCAGAGTCGGCTAATAGCCATGGTGACTTCTGCCCCAGCTGCAGGGGTGGTTGGTTTTAAGATTTGGGGTCCTCTTTTCAATCCTTTTTCAGGCCTCCCTCTGATCTTCTTCCCTTCAGGCCAACCAGGATCTCCCAACCCGAAGACAGCAGGCAGCCCAATAATGTGATCAGACAGCCTTTGGGTCCTGATGGGTCACAAGGCTTCAAACAGCGCAGATAAATGTGGGCAAGAAAGAATGCTGCCGCCGTCACCACCTCCTGGGTCGTCCGCCACGGGTCGCACTGCCGTGGCAGACAACTGGACTTGAGCAGAGGGAAGGACCTGATTAACTTGCACTGTGATCCCTTTTGCTCCTCCCACTGTGACCTTGAACCCCATGCACTGTGACCTCCCCCTTTTCCCCCTTCCCACTGTGATTGGCATGTCTACAAGGGCTGTCCCAAGTCAATGGAAAGGGAAAGGATGGGGGTTAGGGGACTTAAGAGAGTCAGACAGTGCCACTTGGCCACTTGGGGTAAAGCCAGTGCCAGCAATAACAGTTTATCATGCTCATTAATTTGGGATTTCAAAACAAATGAGAACTCCCATCCACCCACCCCCAAGTGCATGTCTTCGTCACTTAAAAGCAAGTTCCATTTGAAAATTATCCTCTTTTTTTTTTTCTTCCTATTTTTGTTTGTTTATACAAATACTGATTTGCAAGGAAAAGTGCATGGGAAGGGTTTTAGCAGTTTAATGAATTTTTAATTAAGAAAGGGTAGTTTGGTAGTCTACTTAAAAATGTTTCTGGGAAATTTACTAGAAACATTAACCAATAGGTTTTTGGTGAGCTTAGCTTCTGTATTCCTACTGCCGCCCAGAAAAGGGGCAGGGCTCTGTAGCCGCCAGGACAGATGAGCACCCCATGCCTATACCTCCCTCCCCCCAGCTAAGTCCCAGGGCATCATGGCCCTACCTGGAGACTGGGCTCGTTCTATAGGCTCAGAGAGCCTGGGGAGGGTGCCAACCCCACCTCTAGTATTTTGGGAGACAGGGAAAGTGAAGAGACTTTCCCTTCCCAACCCCCTCAGGGTGGTTCCCTACCAGCCAGGCTTGCTACTTCTAGAAGAGAGCAGGGAGTGAGACTGCACTCCTGAGCTTAGAAGTAAATGATGCGAGGCTTGCTCAGTATTTTGCTGTCAGCACAAGGAAAGCCAGGAGAGGGTCTGGCTCCAGGGCTCAGCCTCCTGCCTAGTGTGGTCAGAAGGTGTCTGTGGAGTGCCATCTCCAGTGATGGCAGCAGCTCGGCAACTATAGCTGGTACATTTCCTTTGTGAAATCGCTACCTTGGGAGCAGGCCATTCTGAATACATATGGGGAAAGACAAGCTGTGCGTTGCAGATTGGTGATGACAGACTGGTTCCCCATAGTCCTAGGCTACCCTTCACCCTTTTTCCAGAGCAAGGGCCTGGAATGAAGGCAGTTTCCCCTCTGTCCCTGGAGCCTAGGGATTTGCTTTGGCTCCTTGAGGTGGAAGAGACTAAGAGGGCAGCTGCCCAGAGCAGCTCTGTGTGTACAGTCTGGCCCTCTCAGGCTTTCTCTGGTCTCTTCTGTTGCACTGCGCCTTATCCCTCAGCCAGCCGGCCAGCCTCCCACTCAGTGGATGAGTTTTGGAGTGGCGGGTGTGATGTTTTTGTGATTAGAGCAGCTTGTGGTGGCCAAGGTGGCAAGCTAGGTTTTGGAGTCTCACTCTACCTTTGTTCTCCTGGCTCTTGGCCTTGCCCTGTGGGAATGTAGGCCAGGCTCAGCAAGCCATGTCCCACTACATTTTCCCCTGAGAAGGAAGGGCCAGCTGCCAGTTGAATCAGCAACTAGTCCGCAGCACAGTCTTGTAACTGTGTGAAGCCAGGTAATTGTCTATGAGCGGAGCTGGAACAGAGCTTCAGTCAGTAAGAACCTACAGGTTGTGGAGTTGTGACCATAGACTATTCTGGCAGGGAATTACCTCCAGGCGTGGGCAAGGGAGAAGGTTGATTGCTGTCTTTATAGTTCCACTGCCCTGACCAAGTTTCCTCATCCTAAATGTGTAGTGTCCATCCCTCATGTCATAGTGGTTTCTGGCCCAAAGTGAGACTGTCCTTTCAGTTGGAGAAGGGCACAGAGGTCGGCCAGGTGGAAAGGCCAGAGTGCTGATTGCCCAGCCATTGGGACAGCCTGTTCTTGCCCCCCTCCCCTAATGGAGCCAGAGGGAAGACTGGCTGATGGGTGTCTGTGGACGAGGATATAGTAGGGACTGGTGCTCCCACCTCCCTCTGGCCAAAGATGGGGCTCTGCCCACTGTGTGCCTGTACCTCCTTGGCTTCCCAGATGGAGAGGTAGCAAATTTTTAAAAAAGAAAAACGAAAACAGTGAACTATTGTGTTGGGGGAGGTGGGAAGGGAGATGGGAGAACGGTTTGGGGTGGTTGTGTGTGTGTGTGTGTGTGTGTGTGTGTGTGTGTGTGTTGGTAGTTGTCTGTAACTTTCCTTAAGTGCTTTTTTTTTTTAACTTTTTTAAGTTTTTAAGTAAGCTGCGGGCTTTGGCTTAGAAAACCCCAGGGGGTTGTGGGGGGCAGAAACCTGAGGCTGCTGCCCTTTATCTGCCTTCATGGTACTGTCCCTTTCCCCCAGCTCCTCCCTGACCCCATGAGCCAGGCCTCAGACCTTCCAGCTAACTGCTTCCCATGAGCCACTACTCTGTTGTCAGCCTATAACCAAAGGAGCTGGGGGTCTGGGCCTGGTGACCAACCCTTCTCAGCCCACTCAATCAGGGTGCTCCCCACCTGCAGGCAGGAGGCAACACCCTATCTGCTACCATCAGCCCCTTCCAGAGCCCACTGCCCCGCCCTGCCCTGTCCAGTCCAGCCATACCCTGCTCTGCCCCATCTGGGGATGCTCTGCTCAGGGACGGGCCGGTAGGGCTACCCCAGCCTCCCTGCTAAGCAGAGACTCTGGAAACCTGTGGGGTCCTGTTTTCTGGCCATGTGATTCCAAGGGTGCACATGGGCCCCTTGGGTGTCTGAACAGAAGGGCATGGGAGGGAGGGTTGCACCCCTGCAGTCCTGCTCTGCTGATCTAGCGGGCAGCTGCCCACCCCACCCCGCACCGCAGGCTCCTGAGTCGGCAGATTAAGCATTTTATAAATTGTATTTTAAATACATGTTTTAAACTTGTCAGAGCCTTGTCCTCATTTCAGTCCCTGGCCTCCTAACTTCTTGCTGTGGCTGCTTATTTAACCACTGGGAGCTACCTCTGCTCAGTCCCAGGGAGGGGCTCGCTCTCTGTTAGAGAAGTAGGTCTGAGGTGGTGTGTGTGTTGGGGGGTAAGGACCCACACCTTTAGGCTCCAAGGGAAGGGGACCCCTAGGCCCTGGGGCTCTGTTGGTGAGAACATGGGTGAGGCCCTTCCTGCTCTTCCATGGGGTCTGCCCCTTTCAGGGGTCTTTCCCAGGTACTTCCCTTATGTTCCCCATTCCCTTTGAGCAAGGAGGGAGAATTCCTGCCCTTGGGGGCTCCTAGTCCAAAAGGAACAGCTCAGCTGAGGAAAATCCCAGCTTTGTCCTTGAGAGTACACAGGGCCACGTCCAGCCAGAGCCCCAACCCTGGGCAGGGTTTTGAGGTACATCTTGCTTCAGGGGTTCCCAAGCCTAAGGGAGGCTGGGTCCCTGTGCCCTGAGAGCCCAGTAGAGGGATGAGAACCTGGGTGGGGGTCTTTCCTGGCACCAGGAAGCAGGTGAGTGCCCAGAGGGCAGGGGCCCCAGCACCAGGCACAAAGGCTGAGGTTCTTGGTGTTTATTGGCTTACCAGGCCACAAAAGCAAAATCCAGCTGTGGTCCCTGCCTGATGACCTATCTGTCTGCAGGTCTTAGACAGCTGTCCAGAGTCAGGACTCTGCAGGGTCAGTGGGTTCGAGCCGGCACGGAGCTGAGCCACTTTCGGCCGTCAGAGCTGTGTTCCCTAGGGAGAAGGGTGGGAGGAAATGCTCCATCTCCATGTGCCCAAGGGGAGAGGACGCCTTCCCTGGGAAGTGATGAGCCAACAGTCAGGCTCAGGGGCCTGACTCCAAGTCCAGATCGCTGGAAGGGGAACGCTGCAGGGGAAGCTTCGCCCTACCCAGCTGCTAAGTCTGTTTCCTGCTACACCTCACATGGAACCAGACTTGGGCAAAGGACTTGAGTGTTAAACCCCCTGATGAGAAAGGCAGGCAGTGCCAGCCTAAGAGAAAGATGATATGTACCACTGAGTCCTGGGCACAGGAAGGCATAAGTAAGTACCCTGACTCATGAATAATCCACTTGGTGCACAGGCCTTCGACAAAGGTTAGTTTCCCCCCCACCCCCCCTTTCTCTTTTTTCCTCCCCGGAGCAAGTCTCCCAGGCATCACTTCTTAGAAGGATGGATTCTTGGCTTAGGCCAAGGGCCTAGTAAGGAAGGAGGTGGATGGGCCTCGGCTGGGGCCCTTGTCCTTTGGGCACCCACCTGCTTCCTTGAGATCCTGACTGGAAGTAGAGGCTATGAAAATCAGTGCTCGGGTTGGTGGGGGTGCACTGGTCCAACATGTATTGGCCGCCCTGCTTCCGGCCTACCGTCTTCTTGTCCAACCTCGGGCAGAGTGGGATGCAGGGCACCTGGGCGTAGGGGCTCTGCAGGTTGACAGCTGGCGAGGGAGGAGGAGACAGGAGAGGGAGATGTTTCAGAATACACCCAGCCTTGGGGGGCAGGCGGACCCAGGTGAGATCCTGACTTTGCTACATTACGAGCTGGCTGAGTTTGGGCAAATTACCTCTCCAGGCCTCTATGTAGGCTGGAGATGATAGTGGTACCCACCTCACCGTGGATGATGAGGATTAAAGGGATAGTATGTGCAAAGCGTTCAGCTAAATGCATAAGGGCTAATAACAGCTGAAAAAAGCAGATGTCTTTTGTGATGGGTCCTGGCAAAGTCTGGTAGGCATACTCCGGACTCTGGAAAGCTCCTAGGACCTAGCCCATCACTTGGCACTCAGTAGAAATCTAATGGTACCTACCATTATGGGGAGGCCGCCTTGCCCAGTAAAAAGAGCACAGGTTTTGGAGTCAGAGCTGGGTATAAACTCCCCTTTCTGACATGTTGGGCTGTGGGGCCTTGGACAAGTTCCTTAAACTTACCCAGTTTCAGTTTTCTGTAAAATGGGGTAAATATGTGATTATGGGGATTAAGTTCTAACGCATCTGCCAAGGACCTAGCGCAGTGAGTGACTCCAGTGGGTGCTCAGTCGATGAGCTGGGAGCGCTGATCACCTGGCTCTTGGGACCAACCTGTGGTCAGGGCTGAGGCACTGGGAAGAGTCCATGTAGAAGGCCTGGTCAGCGGGCTGGAGATGGGGTAATGCCTGTCAGCCCGTTGACTGACACAGTTAACCCAAAAGGGGGAAACCATGTCTGTCAGCCTGGTTCTGACTTCATAGGGGCCCAGGGAACGAGGCGAGATGTGCAGGAGAGCAGAGCCCCCACCATGCCCAGGGCCCTCACCGTAGCTCTGCTGCTTCAGCCGGTTCAGGATCCTGAGGACCCTTCGTTCTGGGACTTCCAAGCCGTCTGCCTGCTGCAGGTTGCAGGGAAGCTTCTTCCGGGACCGCAGCCGGCCTATGGCCGATTCCATCTCTCGGGCCTTAGAGGTACCTTCCTTGAGCTTCTTCTGGTAATAGCTGGGGAGGCAGTGCCCACCCAGCTCAGCCTGGCCATGTTTAATTCACCCTCCTCTTCCCTCACTCTTCCTGGGGGCCTGTTCTGTCTGGCCAGCTCTGGAGCAGGAACACAGGCCCAGGAGTTGGGAGACCTGGGTTTTAGTCCCAGCTCTGCCATTTACTTCCTGTGACCATGGGCATGTCATTGCTCTGCTTTAAGCCTCAGTCACAGTCACCCGTGCGTAAAATGGGGGGAGATGGTTATCTTATCCCTGTCACTGCAAGTCACTTGACTTCTCTGAGCTTCAGGTGTCCCCTGGGTGAAAAGGATCAAAAAGTCCACATGTTATAGGGTTAAATGACTGCCCATCAAGCACTCAGCAAAGTGTGTGGTCCATGGGAAGAGCTTGGTAAATGTTACCCTTGGTTTCTGTCACTGATATTTGTACTTAGATGTGCGAGTGTTTTATAAGTCAGCTGTGCAATTAACTCCTCATCTTCCAGATTTCAGCTTAAGGGCAATCTCTTCCAGAAAGTTCTCTCTCCTCCCGCCGACTAGCTAGGCTCCCACTGTGGGCCCCAATAACCTGTGCTTATTCCATTGTAACCCATAGCCTACTTTATTTTAACACATCACTCCTTGCGCCTTTTCTCCACTAGACTGCGGCACCATTCATTCATTCAGTAAATATTAATGGATTGTTTACTATGTACTGACCACTCATCTAAGTACTTGGGAAAGAAGGGTGCAGGGTATATTTATTTAGGGTCCCTGATCACAGTCCTTCGGCCCCACCTCTCACTGTAGCCATTGCCGCAGCAACCACTTCCACCAGGGCTTCCACCAGGTGTGCCCAAGCACAACCTGACATGATCTCGCCTCAGGCTTGAGCCCCTTGCTTCCTGCCCCAGAGCTTCTCTGATCCATGTGCAAACCAAAGTGCAGGGGAATTAAACACCTATAGGGGGCCGCATTTGACCAAAGGAGCCAACAGCTGAAGTATACAGGCTTCTCTCCCCCCCACCCCCTCGACTGGTTCTGAGCCACCATCATAGTCTCCTCAATAGCACATCCTTATATTGGCTTCTCCTTTGCTGTTCATGTCCCTTCCCCATCCCATTCACTGGAATTACTTTCTAAGTCAACTACCTAGGCTCATAGCTAGTGGAAGAGTTAGACCATAAGTTAAAAACACACACAATACCATATCAGTAGTTATAGGTGCTCTAAGGGAAAGTCAAAGGTAGGTAGTGGGTTGTGATGAGGAGCTATTTTGCTCACAGTGGTCAGCAAAAGTCTTGGAGGTGGTGGCATCTGAGCAGAATAAGGGGAGGGAGCTACCCAAATGGGTATCTAGAGGGAGTGGCATGTGAAAAGGCCAGGAGGTTGCAAAGAGCTTGGTGACCTCTAGGAATAGCAAGGAGGCAAGAGGGGCTAGAGACTGGTGTGTGAGGGGGAAGGGGAGATGTGGGCAGCAAGATGGCGAGGCCAGACAACCTGGGGCTTTGTAGGCAGTGGTGTTGGGAAACTCTTAGGACTTAAGCTGATGGTTCTGCTAGGGCCTCTGCCTATCCCTGGGGCCTGGAATTTTGGAGTTTATTGGGCTTCCCATAGGGAAAATAGAAAATGAATACCAGAGCCCTCACATGGAAATTGGATCTAGATCTCTGTGTAAAACTGGGACCTAAAAAGGCAGTGCACCAACTAAAAGATGGACTAGAAAATAACTTCACCCCACAGAGACCAGTAGGACATGAGCAGTGTGTGCACAACTTTGTCACAATTTCAAAGGAAATTGCCTGCTTCCCAACTCTTCTTTTCCCCCTCCCTGTGGGCTTGAATTCAGGTGTGTTGCTGGTAACTTAGCTTAGGATCGACCTAGGGAATGGTGGGAAGAAACTGGGTGCTTGGGGGGACCTTGTCTTCCTGCCTGCTTCCTCCAGACTGTCAATATAAGAGAGGAATAAACGATCTTGTTTGAACTATAGAACATTGGGTCTATTCCTTAACTAAGACACCTGGAATTCTATACCCAGCTAACCTATTAAGTAAGTTTGAGGGTAGAAAAACACTTTCGCAGATTGGCAAAATCTCAAAAATTTCACCTCCCACATATGCTTGCTCAAGAAGCTACTGAAGAACACACATGCTTTCAAAATGAAGGCATGAACCGAAAAAAGAAAAGGAAGATGGACATGCAGAAAATGGGATCTAACACAGGAGAGCGGCAAAGGTAAAGGAAGATAAAGGGAGATCCCACAATGGCAGTGCAACTGCCATAGGACAACTAGTTTAGATTGGATCTCTATAGCTTAAATGACAAAAATTTTGAGGGCCGGCATACCTGTTGTTGAAGTACTATTGCCTTTATAACCCCAAAATGTTACTGGGCAAACATGCTCCCTTTTAGGAAAAAAAAGAGTAAGACATGCAGCAAACAGAATCCTAATTAGAGGGAAGGAAGAAAGGGTTCCTAGGATGATAGGCTCCCGAGGTGGCAGTTCTATTGCAGGCCTAAAAAGATATTAATCCTGAGCAAGAAGAATGGAATTATTTAGAACATGCCTCCATCCAAGAAAAAGGAATACTAGGAAGGTGCAGAAATTATCAGTGAATTAAAAAAACACAAAACAAGGCAATAACCCATTTTAGGAAATTTTAAAAGAAGTGAAATTGTAGTATATGAATAAAAAACCCAAATACTTAGTAAAAAATGATGCTATATTGGAATGGGGAGTGGGAAGCTGGTGGGATCATTGTATTAGCTAAATCCTTACCATCATCGGAAGTCAATAGATAAAAGTCTAAAAATCTAACCAAAATATCGTAGTATATGCATATTACTTAAAAGTAAGGAGGGAGACAATGCTTGCCTTTGGAAGAAAGACTTCAAGGAGTGGGGAGTATGTTATATCAGTTGAGTACTAAGCAAAAGGAAGTTGGTATAGCCATACTAATATTTTAAAAATTAGGCCTTAAGACAAAATGCATTACTAGAGACTAAATTATAAAATGTTTATTTCATCAGGGAATACAAAATTCTAGACATGAAATGTAAAGCAAAACCTGATATAACTACTAGGAGAAATAATTCCACCATCACAGAAGTGTTAATAAATAACTATTCCACTCTGCCATTGTAGCATCAAAGAATCCATAGATGATATGTAAATGAATGGCTGTGGCTGTGTTCTGATGAAAGTTTATAAAAATAGAACAGGCTGTATGTGGCCTGCAGCCCATAGTTTGCCAACCCTTGCCTACTGTAGACCTTCCCTGAGACTAAAATCCCAGGAGAAATAGCATTTGAAGTTGAGTCTTAACCAAGCTAAAAAGCTTAGGAGAAATCTGGACTTTTCACAATTATGCCCTAATAAAGTAAAAAAAGCAAGCCTACACAAATTCACGATAATCAGCTAGTAACTGAGCTGCCTACAAGAACAAAAATTAACACTTATTAAAGGAAGATAACAGAATCTAGTTTTTAAACCATATCATTCAAAATGTCTAGGAAGTAAGAAATCACCAGACTGTAAAGAAACAGGAAAATGTGGCGCATAGTAAGGAGAAAAACAACTCATAAATAACAATCCTGAGATGGCCCAGATGTTGGATTTAGTAGACAGCAGCATTAAAGGAGCTATTAAAAATATGTTCAGATAATTGAAGGAACGTGTGATCTTAATGAATGAAAAGACAAACTATAAACATGAAACAAATGGAAATTCAAGAACAGAAAGTATAATAACTAAAATGAAAAAGTCATTGAATGAGCTTAAGAGCAGATTGGAGATAACGGAAAAAAGGAATTAGTAAACTTGAAGACAGATCAATAGAAATCCAATTTGAAGAAGAGAGGGCTGGGGAGAAGACAAATGAACAGAATTCTGTTCCTGGCCATGATGGAACAACTAGTACTGAACTTGTCCTAGTGCCATAAATAGATACATGAACAAAATATATGATGCTGTTGTCTGATACTGGACAACAGGCAGCACAAGAATGATCTGTGAGAGGAGAGAAGCCAATGAGGTGAGCCTTATGATCTCCCTAGAATTTTTTCTGGAGGTACTTCCTAGACTGCAGAGCAGGAAGTAATATCCCAAGCGGAAGACAATTAGGTAAGGAGACAGACATTGGAGTTTAGAAAGATGGAGGCCAACTTTAGTGTATCAGAATACCAAAGAGAGAGAAAGTTGCAAAATATGCATGGGGTACTCTAATGTGTGAACCATCCAATCAGATCCCTCCTTCTAAGACTTAACTACCCTCAAGAGAGCCAATCCATGCCTTGGCTTTCTCCCACCTTCATGTAATCTTCCGTCCCCTCCTTAATTTCAAATGCATAAAAGAAGCTGCAAATTTGTCATTCTACAGAGCATTTGAGATCTTGCTCCCCAGCATATGTCATCAGTTTGGCTCAAATAAACTCATAAAAATTCTCTAGGTTTGGGTGTTTTTATGTCAACATAAGTGTACTAGAAATTGTATAAAAATTTCTGGAAATCTGATATGCCTTGGTATAATGTTATCAGTCATAATTACAGTTATCTTAAAGTGCTGTATATCACAGACACAATCAATTCTCATCAGATCTTTAACCTGGCCATTTTAAGTCTTTCCTAATTCACAGTTATTGTTTTATTGATTCTTCTCTGGAAGCCTTTACAATTAACTAAAGGTAAAAATATGTCAAGGAAATGTATGCCAGACTCTGGTAAGTACTCTGGATTATAGGTCTCTGCTAAGTTTAAGATCATACCACTGAACTGGGTGAGAATCTTCAGAATTCTGATGAAAAAGGTGATGGATTCATAAAACTGCTAACTCCAGATAAGCAGAATAGAAATCAGTTACATGAGAATGACTAATGAGGATGATTATAATTTTATGACGTTTTTTGTTTGAAACATTGTTGGTTCCTTTTGCTTTTCAGATTTAAGAAATCCTTTTTCTCATTTAAGCTGCCTATAACTAATAACAATTTGGTAAATTATACCTTTGTAAACAAAATGAAAACAACTTTTTCTCCTTGCCTGATCCCTCTAGAACAGTGGCTGGCAAACTGTGGCTCGCGAGCCACATGTGGCTCTTTGGCCCCTTGAGTGTGGCTCTTCCACAAAATACCAACTTCTACACATGGGCCACGAAGTTTCAATCGCACTGTACATGCGCGCCCGCACGTGGTATTTTGTGGAAGAGCACACTCAAGGGGCCAAAGAGCTGCATGAGGCTCGCGAGCGCCAGTTTGCCGACCACTGCTCTACAACAGTGCGTCTGACCCCTCTCTGGGCCTCTGGATACAGAGCCTGATGTCGTCGACCCATCCAAAAAAATATTCTCCGGGACTACTTTTATATCTGCAATGTTTGCTTCATTTTTCGAATCATATAGGTACATAACTGAGATGAGGAACGATCCTACGTCGACCTCGAACAAAGGAAAGATATACCTACAAAGGGGTCGGCACCCACGGCATGAGAACCGCTACTCAACATCAAAACACGCTTTTGAATCCTTTTACTTCTCCTAAAGATATTTGTATGCAGTGAATAAGGATGACGAAAACTTCAAGAGAACGATTCCGCTTGATTGAGTACCATTCACACATTTTCGTAATCAAGGT